TTGTTGCACCTTGCCTTAAGGTTCAGGCGGGTAACTCGTTCATGATATCATTGAGTGCATCCTGAAATGTTGCATTCATGAAATTTGTCATCAATGATGTGGGAATGCCGTTCTTAGAGACAGAGCTTACAGAAAGAGGCATGTTGATGTGGTAATGCTCATCAATTTTTTGTTGATTTCAATTGAGTGGCTTATGATGTAGAATTTGTTTAGAACACACTAGAGGTGGGGCCGGATTTTGTCAAAAAACCAACAAGACTGGATTTTTAGATTGCATGTGCCTATAGCAGAGGGCGATTGTTTAAGGGTTGACTAAGACCTTGCTCTACAAATCACCCCATTGCCAGGTACAAGACTGGATTATCACTAGTACATCACGATTATCATATTTTTCTTTAACAGTCATGATAGTAGTCAAATCAAATGACCGATTTAAGTACAGTTATTATACTATCAATAACATCTAGTATGAAATAGAAATGTAGATCTCACGTCAGCTCACCAAGTTGAACCAGACATCAATTGGGCATTTGCTTCATCAGATGCGTTTTCTGTTATTTACAACTCATAAGGGATGTAACAGAGGAGTTGTAGTAAAAGATATTTTCTTTCAAGAACCTGTAACTCAACAATTAAAAAGGGAGTAAACAATCTTTTACAACGATGTTACACAATCCAAAGTATTCACAAACTGTAAGCCATATAATTTTGACTGACCACAAAATCAGAAACATTGTACAGAAACCATTTATCGAAACTCTCCATGTTGAAATTAAAAACATTTTAACCCTTCAAAACGAAACCAAAACACATTTTTTCCATATTTTCGCACGCAACCAAAACACATTCCAATATTCACTCTACACAAGAGAAGTAAACCCATTAGACTAACAAAGCAAGTTGAGTTAGTTAAAATTTTTAGATTTATAAAGGTTTTGGGGTTGCCGATTGACAGATGTGGAGAAAGGGGAGGGAAAAAAAGTTTTTTTGTTAGTAGTAGATCACATTTTACTTTGCAATTAAATCTCCTCTTACCTCAGCATTTTTTTTTTTTTTTTTTTTTTTTACTTGTTGTCCCCTAATTGATAACTTAACAAAAGTTTTATTATTTTATACATAATTGATAATTTAATATAAAATTTTACATTATTCTTATCACCTAATCAATTAACTATATTTAAAGGTTATCTTTTTCACTTTCTACTGAAATTTCAGGAAAATGGAAGTAATCAGTTTTATAAATCAAGAAATTGTTTCTGATACTTAATTATCGTGATACCAGTGTTCTAAATCTCTTTCATCTCGTTTCACAAAAGTCCAAAAATACTTAACAAAGATGTACCAAAATAAATAATAAATAATAAATTCATCACAACTTACAAATTACTGAGATTAGTGGCCAACAAGATAATCTAATTTACTTAATTGAGTGTGAAGTAGAGGCACGTAATTAATGAATTTGGCTAAAGTTCATTCATATTCAATAAATAATACTGATTTTGGTTTTGAGAGTAGTTGTGCAAATATAAATTATTGTATATAATCTCAATTTGTATTGATTTATTTTGCACTAAATCTTGTATTATTCTAGTTTTAAAGCTGATAAAAAAAACTTGAGGTATGCATAAATCAAATTAATTTATAATTTTACCTAGCCTTATACATGCCCACCTTTGGTTTCTTTGAAATTAAGCATATAGAAGCAAAAAGATGTCTGACACTTGACATATGGTGGGATTAATTAATTAATATGAACATATGGGTACATTGAGAAGTTGCTAAACAATGCTGTTATATTTAGAATTCGGCTGAGTTTAATTGAAAAATATTGGTGGTGATTTGTGGATTGGAAATGGTGTTTGCATGAGTGGAGAGAGTTAGGTTGTTGAGAGAAAGATTAATTTGATTGAAAAGCATGAAATGTTTTCAAGAATTTCTTTTTATTTTGGAAATTCCCATGCATCATTCATATTAGCCTTACTATATTTTTGGTTGTCTCAACATTTTACAAGACTTGAATTGACTATTTTCTCTAAACATTCACAATGTAATGTGTTATATATTGTGAGAAGTGTATGTATATGGTTACATCTTAAAAAGCAACGATGGAATTAGTGTTTAAAAGAGGTGAAGTTAATAATATAAATAGGAGTTAGGTGCGGTTGGACATCACATTTGTAGATGGTGGGAAGTTTTACTTAAAAATGAAACATGTTATTTTATTAGATTATATTGGCATGCACTCGGTTGGAATGTGTATAGTCATGTATTGGAAACTTGTTGCCTTGTCCTTTGTGTTTGAATGCTGAAATTGGGGGTGTAGGATAGTGTTTAATATGTGTTGTGGTTGGTTCTATGGAAAGGAGTTTGGGTTCGGTTTGATTGAGGTTGGAGAATGGAGATATGGGCTGGATATTAAATTATAACAAGATTCTAATTTAATTTGTGTTGAAGGGCTTAATGGAGTTGATGAACTTAATTGAATTAGTGGACTAATAAGTATGGTGGGCTGGTCTAAATTAAAGTAGGCCCAGATTAAATTGGTTTGGGTTTTATTGTTATAGTGGGCCGACTTATTATTACTTTAAGGCCCAGTTAATTGTTGGGCTGTTGGGGTTATTTAAATTGTTAGGCTTCATTGAATTAAAAAGGCAAATTTGAAATGGCAACCCATCGTATTCGAAAATCTGGTGCAAGGGTGTAGATTATTGTGTCTGGCATGAGTTGAGACGATTATATACTTCGTTTTGGTGATGGGTGTATCGGTTTAGGTAAAATTGATATGGCAACCCATGGCATTCGAAAATCTGGTATAAAGATGTGGATTATTGTGTTTGACATGAGTTGGTACGATTTAAGGTTTCACGATATTTGAAATTATATTTGGTTATTGTTGCATCATTGCATGAGCGTTTATGGTGTTGTATGACAAGCAAATAGACTTTTCACATGCTGATTTTAATGATAAAGCTATTTTCGTAAACAATATTTACTTATTCACTAGGTTTCCTAGCTCACTGTTTTTGTTTTTTCCACAGGTTTGCATATAAGGTACATGGGGCGCATGTTACACGCTTTCGGTTGGCCCACAAACGCATATTCATTGGCATAATGTTTGTACATTTAAAAGCACTCTGATACAATGTTTTTGTAAACTGATTTTTAATGCTAACACTTTCAGAATTGAGTAATACTACACATACATCATTTTCATACAACATTTCTCATACAACATTATGTGGTAAGATGTGATTGGATGAAAATTTAATTTTAACTTTAAATTAGCCAATTATATCTTGCCACATAATGTTGTATAAGAAATATTGTATGGGAATGATGTATGTGTAGTATTATTCTTCAGAATTATATTTCTAGTTGCACTTTTGTCATTAAAGTTTTGTAAACTGTTTTAAAAAAATTCACCCTCCTCTTGCGATCTTGAGTCCCTCAGAGCAACCAAATCTGACAAGATAGAGAATAGGCGGGAGGGGGCGTGACACGAATCATAAGGGATGCAACAGAGGATGTTGTAGTAAAAGATGATGCCATTTTCTTTCAAGAACCTGTAACTCAACAATTGAAAAGGAAGTAAACAATCTTTTACAACAATGTTACACAATCCAAAGTATTCACAAACTGTAAGCCATATAAATTCTAATTGAGCACAAAATAAAAAACAATGTCACAGAAATCGTTTATCGAAATCTCCCATGTTGAAATTAAAAACATTTTAACCCTTCAAAACGAAAACCAAACACATATTTTCCCCATATTTATGCAGCAACCAAACACATTCCAATATTCCACTCTATCACAAGAGAAGTAAAATCCCATTAGACTAACACAGCAAGTAGAGTTAGTTAAAAGGAGTTTTGTCTCACTATCAAACCAAAAGACCATAAAAGTTCAAAAGTTTCTCTTCTCTTATCGCCAGTTTAAGGCAACAAACAAAAACGCATAAATAGGTTATGGTAGAATATTGTCATCTACTTCGAATAAAAAAGGAATCTCGAAGCGCCAATGGCATCTTTCTTTGTAGACTTCTCTTAAGGTTTCTCTTTTCATTTATGGTTCTTATAAAACCATTCATTTTCAAAGCAAGAAGTGAAAAAAGAAAGGTATACTATTGCAGTTTTGACTGTAAAAGATCCTTCTCAAATCTGGATGAGAAAAGGATCTTCAAAAACAGCTCATAAACAATTCATGCCTAACTGTATGTCATTCCAAGATTGTCTTGTTCACTTCCCACCGCCAGAAGTCTGTTTTTCCTAACGAGCCTAGCTACCATTTCAGAAGATGGATAGCACCTGTTTTTCTTTCCATAGTTGTTTAAGTCAACTTCTTTCCAATAGCTGGAGCTTTATTTGCTAACAGGAAACTTGAAGCCTGCAAGAATTATGAATTTGTGAAGAAGAGGAGTTCCTGGAAAGAACCTAATTAATAACATGAAATATCATAAGGATACTTTCGTACACGCATAGTTGATGATGTAGGTGATAACCTGTTGGAAATGGGACAACTTCCGGTTGGATATTCAAACCTGATTTTTGGAGCCAAAGTTTCAGTTTATGTTTTTGTTATAACTGCAGTGGTTGTGGAGCAGCTATCAGGCCAATCAAGTGAAGACTTTATGTCATGTTTAGTTGAGACTTAGACTTGGTGCATATTTTTGCTAAAGTGTATTTGTAATATTTTATTTTACTGCGGTAGGTAAAACAGTGACGTAAGTTTGTATATACATTGCTCTGTTCAATGAAAGAAATGCAGAGAGAAAAATCCCTAAAATTCTTGCCGTCTCCTTCATTTTCAACTTCTCATTTTTACTCTGAAATTTTCTTCCCTGAACTAACAATAGTACTTGAGGAATGTAGAAAGTTGACCATAAAGTAGAGTCAATCAAGTGTTGCAGGATTACAGCTCATTAACGGATTGATAGCAATAGTATATATATGTAATAACTTCTTCAACATTACTTCACGCAAGACAGTCAAGAAAAGGAAATGGATTCAAGGCTTTATGAGGCAATTGCCAACAATGATAGAGGTGCCTTCGACAATTTAGTTCAAGACAATGAAGGAATTCTGGAACAGACAACTGATTATCACTTGAGCACCGTGTTGCACCTTGCCTCGAGGTTCAGGCACTTCAAATTGGTGAAGGACATCATTGAGTTGCATCCTGAAATTGTTGAAACTGTGAACAAGAAGCTTGTCGACAAGGTAGAGCAGATGCATTAATGCCGCTCTTGGAGACTAAGCCGTGGATAGCTACTAAGCTTAACTATGAAAATGAAAGTGCATTTTTCATAGCTTGCAGACGGGCATCTTGATGTGGTGAAGCTCATGATGAATCAGTCTTGGCTGATGGACTTTGAAGAAGATGGGATTGATCTAAATGCTCTACATGTTGCCGCAGCAATGGGGCACACAGGTAATAACTGTATTCATTTTTACTCTGGAACAAAAGTTGGAGCTGATCAACTTGTTTTTCTGAACTCATTTAAGTGCATTATGTTGCAGACATTGTTCAGAATATATTGGAGGTGCGGCCAAATTTTGCTCGAAAGAGCAACAAGAATGGATATTCTCCGTTGCACTGTGCTTGTAGCAGAGGATACTTGGAGATAACAAGATTGTTTTTGAGGCTTGACCAAGGCCTTGCTCTGCAATACAATGACAAAGGTTATACCCCATTGCACTTGGCAGCCATACATGGCAAAGTTCCAATAATCCTTGAAGAATTCATGTTAAGTTCTCCCACTTCCTTCCAGTACCTGACAAAAGAGGGAGAAACAGTGTGTCATCTTGCTGTAAAATTCAACCAATATGATGCACTTTTATGTCTGGCAAATTTCTTCAATAATTTTGCATTCTAATTGATTTTAATTGATAACATGATGTCTTTATTTTGAAATGATTTCAGTTAGCCATGTACATTGTGAATACAACAAAAGAGATTATAAACTGCTGCAATAATAAAGGACATACGGTANAAAAAAAAAAACAAAAAAAAACAATTACAACCAAATTTCTAACGTAAAATCCTAAAAGAATAAATAAATCGTCTTTTAGTGGATTCTTCAAGTTAGAAATCCTAATTGATTACATATTCGAAGAAATATTCTTTCAAGTTTCTAAAAATACTTAAAAATCAGCTAAAATTACATATAAGAGCTCCAACTAGAGCTATAGCTTGTTATGTTGGGACTTCCTTGTCTTAAACAATTCATCCTTTCGAAGCACACTGTAACATGAAATTAAATACAATTATTATAATAAGATTACAAATTAATTCCTCCTATACTATATTAATAACAGTTCTAAATTTATTTTCATAAGCAAACTTTTCTGATAACTACTTACTCTTTAAGCAACCTTGTCTAACCATTTGAATCCAATGATCAATTTATCTACTGGTGTCATCCACAGTTTATATAACAAAGACTTGTCACTAATAACTTCTCTTTATCTCTTATGGAATACAAAGTCTGTGGATGGAAATCAATGATTATTCAAATAAGTTATAAGAGAACAAAATGTTTTAGTATACGGTGACATTTAGTGGAGAAAGTTTATGTAAAAAGAACCTCATTTTGCCATGTTCCTGTTGCACTTCGTCTTCTGACCTTGATTCCTTGAGAATGCTGCATGACATATTAAACTTGCTTCACTGCTTTGGAATGGAAATATCCAAATCAGTTTCTATTTCAACAACTGAAATAACATACCAAGAGCGAGTCTGACACCCACTAAATCTGCAAGCTGGTTAACACCTGCCTGAAATGAAAGAACTAGTAAGGTTATGATTAAACAAGTTGATTCTTCTCTGCGAATTACAGCAACTACTCACTGCTACCTTACTTTTAGCTTCTTAATAGCATCGCCATCCTGGTTAAAGTGCAGTACTTCCTTGGCCATTGCCTTAACCTTGAGGGACTGCCTTTTCTGCAGATTTACATCCTTTCTTCTACCAACAAAGGCACTTGAAGATATGGAAGCCAACGACGACAATCTACTCGAAGAACTCAAAATCCTATTATCCGTTCTGCCACGGCAAGGAGATGAAAAGGGATGAACCAATATTTGGAAATGCATTAGATCCGGTTCCGAAGAGATTGAGTTGTGATGCTGCATGTTATGTAGATATAGGTGTATAGTTCTCGTGATATTATAGATAGGGATTGGGTTCAGCTGAATGTGAAGAGTGAGTGGACCAGCAAAAAAACACTTTTAAATATCTCAAATTCTGTTGCATGTAAATTATTGAGTTCTATTATAATAATATTTTGATGAAAAATTGTTAGTTAATTGTGATATTTGTTAAATCCTAGCTTGCATGTCTCGGCTGAATGATTTTTGGATGTTATTGCACTGGATCTGCCTCTAAAGAATGTGATTACATGCTGTAGGGTTACTTACATTCATATATGGACATTACATTTAGAGATGCTGGGAAATTTTACTTAAAAATTGAAACATGTCATTTTATTAGATTATATTGGTGTGCACTTGGAATGTGAATAGTCCTGTATTGGAACTTGTTGTCTTGTGTTTGAATGCTGAAATTGGGGGTGTAGGATAGTGTTTAATATGTGATTGACGTTGAAGATAGATCATAGATTTATGTGATGCAGATTTTTTTTTTTTTTTAATGGGATGTGTTGTTGGTTTGCCAAACTATGGAATGGTCACGGTTATATAGAATGAAACTTTACGAATGAATTATTTATTTTGTGTACATATACATTTATATATTATAGTAAAACCTCTCGATAGTTATAATAATGGGACTAACTAATTTTATTACTATAAAGAAGTTATTACTTAATAGATGTGTAGTTATAAAATTTTTTTATTTTATAATTCATGTTTTAGTGGTACAATATTAGGATTTATATTCATGTTTTAATAGTATTAGGATTTCAAATTCAGCGTTTCAATTGCTTACTTTTGAAATAGATAGAAGATCATGTCTTGGAACTAGCAAATATAAATGTCCTTGATGGAATTGTAAATGTATTTGTTGCATGGTCCATTGATGTGAAGCCACAGACAATTGTCAATTGTTTTAAACATTGCAAGATTAAGACCTCCAATGTCGATGATGACATGACCCGCCTCGACCCTCCCTACCCCATAAGCTTCGATCGCACCTATGAGACTTGGGCAGCCGAGACGTGCCGTGTGGGAATCTAAAAAAAACTGGTATTCTGAATACGTTTTTCATAAAAACATTTGCTTGAATTCATTTTGAAAGCATAAACACATAAGATATATATACATTTGAAAATCTGAAAGCTAACTCGTACGTTCATAAAAATCCAAAAAACGGATGATATTAGATCTTCATATCTTTTATAATCAACATAGGAGATAAACATGGGAATAAAACATAACTCTGTAGCGGGAACATGCATGACATTTTTACACACATGATGAGTCGGTGATGTGTGGCCCAACCTCGAGAGGAAACGCTCCTTAGCAGGACTCTACCTGTGAACCTGGGGAAAAGGGTTTAAAAAGGGGTGAGCTGAAATACTCAGTGAGTGGGGGATTGGGGAGAGTTTGCAAAACATTCTTCAAACAATAGTCATGACATGCAATAGTTCTTGTGAAATCCTAAAAACAGCATGATTCTATGAACGTGTTATGGAAGTAACTAAATCATTCCTGTATGCATATATAACTTGTTTTCTAATATTGTTCTAAGTACTGTAATCTCATTATTTAAACTGAAAACAAATTTTGAATTATAGCTCATCATTGAATGCTTAAAATTCTGTTTCTGGAAACTTAAAACATAAATGTAAGTGCTTATGCTTCTGGGAACAATGTTTCCTATAAGTCATGTTGCAACCATCTATGTCATCACTCAAGAATGCATATGATTATGAAAATAATAACTCTACTAGTCATGCTGCAAACATCCAAACCATCATTCAATGAACACTCATGATCTACAAAACAAAATCTAGTAACTAAATTTATAACTGTTGTGATGATATAAAATTGAAAGCTGATTTTTCTGAAACTATGCACTGGTAAATGATTTTGGAATACTGTAAACTTTATGCTGATAACTGAATTTTAAATTGAATACTATGGCTTTTACTAATACTGAAAAATATAAGATGATATCTTATTCTGAAACTGTGGCTAATACTGAAAGCTCTCTTAATTATTCTAAAAACTCATATTGAGACTTATCGCTCATAACAGATGCTAAAAACCGAATGTGATTTTGAACATTCTAAAACTAGTTATGATATTAATAACAGAAAACTCTCACCACAACTAGTACCCTCGGGGAAATCTGTCTTACCTGGTGGGCGTCCCACACGTAGGCAGAGCAAGGGATGTATCTGTCATACCCAGCAAGATCTATCATTGCGCGGGCAGAGCCATTGAAACTATCATACCTGGCGACAGTGGCGGATCCAGGATTTTTGTCTAGAGGGGGCCTCCGGGGCTCCGCCATTATTTGCCAAATAACTAGTGAAAACATTAAAAAATCATTAAACCTTAATTAAAAAAAGAATGTACAATAACACAATATTTTCTTACTTGAATAAATCTATAAGAAGCAAAATTTTGAGTAAAAATGTTGAGTAAACTTTGAACAAAACCTTCTTTTAATATTTTTATTTTTGGCTTTCAAATATTACAATATAAATTTTCATAGCATTGATCAAACCTAGCATTATTAAGCTAAAGTCAACCAAAACTTAAATCAAGTCAACGTTACTTTAACTTTTAATATGAATTAATAAAAGAGGGGAATTTTTTTTAGTATAAACATAGATAGTAACTCAAATTTCTTTAATAATTTTGAACAACTGAACGGTGAAGTTTAAAATGTAGAAAAGTGGTGGGTGAAGAGTGAAGAATAACGTCCTTTAAAATATAGTTAAGGTTTTAATTTAAGAAAACAGATTCATTCTTAGACAGAAAATACAAAATAAACTCACAAGATTAATATCTTTTTCTCTCAAATTAGAATAAAAAACCTCAAAAAGAAAAAAAATGATCCAATCCTTAAATAAACTAAATTGAAATGAACAATACACATACCTAAAATTGATAAAACAAAAAACGGAGCTAATTATGACACCTTGAGTAGTGAAAATTTAACAATTTTAGTCTTTAAAAATTTCAAGAGTGAATAACATGAGAAAGAGAAAGAGAGAGTAAAGAATTAGGGGATAAAATCATAAAAAACAGGTAAAGCTGTGTAGAAAAACACTAAAGAGAGTTTTAAACTTTTAATATGATGTGAGCTTGGAATATATATATATATATATATATAATAAGTTTTTTTGTAGACCTAGATATATAGTATGTATATCTGAAGGTGGGTTTGGGTATATATGTTAATTAACAATTGTTTTTTGCCTTTATATTAATAATTTTTTTTTCAAATCTGAGGGTATCCGCCCCTGCCTGGCGGACCACTCAATGCCTAGGCAGAGCCAATAAAATATGTCATACGCATGCGCAAAGCCAAAATCTGAAACTATCATATATATATATATATATTAATAATAAGTTTTTTTATAGACCTAGATATACAGTATGTATATCTGAAGGTGGATCTGGGTATATATGTTAATTAACAATTATTTTTGGCCTTTATATTAATAATTTTTTTTTCAAATCTGAGGGTATCCGCCCTTGCTTGGCGGACCACTCAATGCCTAGGCAAAGCCAATAAAATATGTCATACGCATGCGCAAAGCCAAAATCTGAAACTATCATACCCTGCGGAATCCTGCATCGCTCAGGCAGAGCCAAAAATCTATATCTCTGGGGAACGGGTACTTTGCAGGGTGGTTTGTAAGTCATTACTATATTTATTCTTAACCCAATACATTATATTTCTTCAAAACATAGGCCTTTATAAAATTATTAAAACATTATGAAATAATTTATGGTAGTGTATTCTGTGCTAAAATGTAAAGACAAGTAATGAAATAAACATGAGGGAGCCAAAAGAGACTTTACACAATTATTAAATAAGTCTACAATTCACGTGACAGACACTTCCACAAAACTCGATGCATCATAGTTTTAAAGACACCCTCAATACTCTTAAGCTTAACACTTAAACCCTGACAAAATTGTAACATGTAATTCTTAATTAAGGTTTGCACTCCATGTGAGTCTCATAGATATGAAAAGCATTGGCTTGCATTTAATGCTTTAGACCCAGTGCAACACACAAAAAGAATATCAATTTTCTATAGTCGTAATATTTGACTACTTGGACTCGTAGAAAATTATCAGATTATTCAGTTTTCTATTGAGCCCCATATGTTCTCAAACTTTCAAACAACTTTTAGAAAAGGGAATAATATGTTAATGGAAATATTCAATGCATTCTCTTTCAACTATTTGACCGAATATCAAACAAAGCAATTAATAAATTATTTATAACCTTTTATCATTAACACCCAATTGAAAATACACGGTTTGTCTTTAACTAATAAGATATTTTGGTAAAACCTTTTAATTAACTAATACTGAAGGTTCTCACCACAACTATCTCACATATAATCCCAAGTAGTATATAAGTCAAGAGCATATTATATAAGTTCTTATAAATCATGCATATTTGACATAATATTCAAAAATCACGTTTAGGGGTGAAACTGCAAATTTTCAAACATGTTTCAAAACTGATTTCTTCAACATCACATTACCATAGCATATGTCCGACACTAATCATAAGATATATACCACATTTCATATAGAAGCAAATCATGCCAAAACTTATGAAATTCCATGCAAAATGGGGGTAGAATGAAAGTTTTAAAACATACTTTCAAAACTGACAGAATGCACCCCTTCTCTCCTTTTACCAAGAAACCATTTACCAACATCACAAACCTCAACCCGTATACAATTCAACCAATTCCCTATTCTCTACAGCAACATTTTATTCATATAGCATGAATATATATAAATTCTATATACCAAACTTCATCAAATTCACATTTACAATTCAAAGTAAATTCAGGGAATTTGAAGTAATAAATAAATTTACATACTAGCTTAAAATGTGAAATTTTTTAGAAAACCATTTAATGTATGCACTCACTAGTCTTTAACTAAAATTTTTTTTCCCAATTTAAGCCCATTTTAAAGAATAAACCCACCAATAATACACTTTATATATATATATACAAATAAAACAAAGGTTAAAATTATAATAATATCTCATCTTAATCATAAACATACCCATTTAACAATTTAACAGCCAACCTCAACACTCCACATTATTAAAAATCTGCAGGAATCCTCCCTTTAATTATGCATTTCTTCTCTTCCAGATTTTTCAACAAGACAAGACAATTAATGGTAAAGACACATGCATGTTTTTCACAAAATAAAGGAAAAAGAACATTTAAAACTCACTTACTGCTCACGCCAACATCCCTTCTCTAACTACTCACTTTCTTCCTTCAACTAATTACCAACCTTTACATTCATCTCTACCTAGATAAGACTAACGTTTCCAAGCATTTGAAAGCAAAGCTTACCCAAAACTCAACTCAGTTGACAACCTCTCAACAACCCAATACACTTTCCAGCCAAATTACCTTAACTCCCATCATTTTAAAACACCATTCAATCTATTATCACAAAGACATTCCAGCCGATTACATGTAATCATAGTATCCAGCCACCATCACAATTGATTGAAACAACCAAATGCATGCAAGGTCAATTAGCAAGCAAATAACATTCCATTTTAAAACTCAAATCAACCACTCTAAAATCTGTCCGAAAACATGCAGAGAAGGTAAATCAAGCAAGCTTCACATTTAGCTCAAACCTCATCAAAACACAACCATGGCATACCACAATTAACATGCAAGCATAGATCTGAAATTTTTTAAGGAAAGTTTTCATTAAATCCACTCACCATTCAGCTCAACCAAACTTCCAGCAAGCTTCAAACATCTCTTTTTTTTTTTTTCCCTCCAATCCCGAGCTTAGATCTGGGTTAATCTTGCTCGGTTTTTGCTCTCCTCCACCGATTCCAGATCACTCTCACTCCTCTCGGCTGAACCTCACAGTCCCTTCTCTTTTTTTTTTTTTTCTTTTCTCTCTTCTTCCTCTCCGTGTTTCTTCTCTCCCAGTCTCCTTCTTCCTTCATCTGGTCGAAAATCAGCTTTTCTTATATTTTTAATCTTTCTAGAATTATACGTCTGCCCCTAGATTACAGATAATTCCGGTAAACCCCTGCCACATAAGCTTTTCCTTCAAAAAAAACTCCAGATTTTGCCCCTTGTTACATGCAAACCCAGCAGGTTCCTTTTCTTGCAATTTCATTCCCAATAAAACTTTTAAAACTAACAAAAATCCCCTTCCATAAAAATAAAATCACAAGGAATATGTAATATATATTAGGATTAAAAAAAAACAGGGTTTCACAGATGAATTGCAAGTTACAAATTAAATGGAGGAGGAGAATCAAAGAGTTATAGTAGAATTGAGTGATTATATTCGACAACTTTACTACACTAATCGAATGGATATTAATATCTTTCTCAATCATCCAAATGAACAACAAGTCATATATACTTTATTTGAAGAAGAAATCATTGCTACAATTAGATAAGTATAGAAAGGAAATAATCATGAATATGATAGTATGGATATACAAAAAAATTTGTGTCAAGAAGCTCTAAACATATTTGAGACGCTATAAATATTTTGGCTTCAACATACTCTGATACAATGTTTTTGTAAACCAATTTCTAATGTTGGCTCTTTCAGAATTATTTTTCTAGTTGCACCATTGTCATTATAGTTTCTAAACTATTTAGAAAAAAAAAACTCACCTCCTCTTGGGATCTTGAGTCCCTCGATGCATTCGGATCTGACATGATATGGAATACTGGGGAAGGGGTGTGACACAACTCATAAGGGATGTAACAGAGGGTGTTGTAGTAAAAGATGATGTCATTTTCTTTCAAGAACTTGTAACTCACTAATTAAAAAGGTGTATGGGCCAAAAATCATCATGGGCCTTACTAGGTGCAAGCATAAAACATCTACTATATGGTTTAGGGCCATGGACTAACTTTGGCTAGGTTATCTTCAAAGGTTCTAGAGTCATACTCAAACCCTAAGACATCTACTTCCTATTCCATCCTCATCCTAATTCATCAAAGATCCTGAATCTTATATGAATTAGGACTCTTACTCCTTCAAAGACAAGTAAATTAGGACTTTTCTATTTATTGGAACTGTACCATTATGGACTCAAAGTCTTACTGAGATTCGAAAATACTATGACCATTATATAAATAGAGGTATTGCCTCTCATAAAGGATCCATTATTTAATATCACCTACTAACTCCTAAAGTTCCTGTTCCTAAGAACTTACACCTTCCTCGTAGCTCTAATATTCTATCAGACTCTGGTAACTGTTCCTTCCCTTAGCCCTCACTAAATAGCTTCTTTCAGCCTTGTTGACTTGAGCGTTGAAATGTCTATGGTAGACACCACATCGGTATTTTACATAAGCTTCACGCTTGTTTCTTTTTATATAAGCTTCAAGCTTGTTTTTTTGTGTGTACAAGTTCAATAGATTGTTAGTGGCTTCAACCTCATAAGATCAGTCCGTTCCGTAACCGTAGATTTTTATCATCTACAAAAGGGAGTAAACAATCTTTTACAAAAATGTTACACAATCCAAAGTATTCACAAACTGTAAGCCATATAAATTATAATTGAGCACAAAATCAGAAACATTGTCACGAAATCATTTATCGAAATCTCCCATGTTGAAATTAAAAACTTTTTAACCCTTCAAAACGAAAACCAAATACATTTTTTCCCCATATTTTCCCAGCAACCAAACACATTCCATTATCCCACTCTATCAGATGAGAAAGTAAAATCCCATTAGACTAACACAGCAAGTTGAGTTAGTTAAAATGAGCTTTGTCTCACTATCAAACCAAAAGAACATAAAAGTTCAAAATTTTCTCTTCAATTATCACCAGTTTGACTACGTTTACAAGGCAACAAACAAAAACGAATAAAGGAATTACAAAGAAACAAAATTGAAGGGAGTTTACTTGAGAAATATGTTGGGGGTTTAAGGAGGGTTTGAGAGGATAAGGTTTGAGTTCGAAGTCAACACTTCACAGTTATGCGCTAACTGAAGAGAGACTAGTTAACAGATAGTTTCACTTTTATGTATATACAATATAGCATAAATATAATAATACAATTGAACCTCTCTATAGTGATACTGTATATAAGAATAACTTCCATGTAATCATAAAAAATTCTGATCTCAACTTAGGCCAGTTATAAATAAGAATAAATTTCACATTGTAATAAGTTATAATTTTTCTAGGTCTCGTCCTAAGGGTCTGCTTGGGAGTTTTTTTTTCATTGGTTTTGGAGGGTTTTTAATTAGACTGGTTTTGAGGTGTTTAAAAACCTCTACTTGCCAGATTTTTAATAGGCTGGTTTTGAGGGGTTTAAAAACTCCCTAAAACCAGTGTAGTGTATTTTTGAGGGGTTTATAAAACACCCCAAATTGGGGTGTTTTGACTGGTTTAAAACTTTTATCCCCAAAAAACCCCTTTCCACTCCCTTTTACAAATTTGTCGCTGCTGTAGATTCTCTCTAGCACACAAATCTCTCAAATCTGTCATTGATGTTCTCTTCTCTCTAGCACACAATTCTCTTGCCTCTCCTCACTTTCAGCAAGGAAGATAGGCTTTCTCTTTTCATGTTTTTATACACGGCAAAAGGGTAGACAANCTCCAACTTCTTTTCAGTACCTGACATAAAAGGAAGAAACAGTGTGTCACCTTGCTGTTAAGTTCAAGTGGAAGTTTCAAGACTTGAGTTAAAGAGCAAAATAGTTTACACTTGAATTGATTTTAATTATTACTATCTGAATGATGTTATTTCAGTTAGCAATATATATTTTGAATAAAACAACAGAGAACATCAACTGCTGCAATTGTGAACGAGATACAGTGCTAGAAGTGATGTAGAAAGCAACCAATTTAAGAAAGCCTTAAGGCCACAGAAAAACTCTCTCACCAGGGGTCACAAAAATACTTGAAAACACCAAATGATTTGATATGGGCAACGGTCTGAACTGCCCTTAGACTTCCAACTTTGCCAGCAGCCCAGGAGTTGTGCCTGCATCAAGCTCAAGCATGTCAGCAAAATCTAGAAAAGATTCAGGCGAGTGTTGAATCGAAGAAAAATATGTGATAGTCATGACAGTACCCTAATAAAACCACAGATCCAGAAGCAAAAACTGGATATGCTCACCACCTGGCCTCGACACAAGCGTGTCATTGAATCTTGTGGCCTCTTGCCTACATCAAGCATGCAACCAATGTGAAAAGAGGATTTACTTGAGCTTCCATCCCTAAATAGACCAGAAATTCAAGATGATAAGCCATTAGAACCAGTTACCTTGACAGAAGAAAAGATTTGTGTAATGTGAAAGAAATAAGGACCCTGCGTGATGGACGCGGAGAGAATTGAATCAACCTTCTAAAAGTCGCCATAAAAGGCCAAGGCAAGATGAGATACACGGAGAAGCTCTACACAATGCCAGGAACACAATTACAACGGTGGCAATCAGTTACTTTTACTGCAGGCACAAACCCTCCCGGTTGAGTCCCTCCAGGAGGGACCATTGAAAGGGAAATTAACAGTTGGCAGAACAAGGGATCTTTACAGTAAGCAACAACGTTGCATTTTTCACATCCTCCTGCATTGTCATTGTTCTGGTGAGCTTCATCCCCTTTCAAAGAAAACAAATTATGAAAATGTTGGTGATAACTCACAAGGTCATGTGGATGGATAACTGAGGTTTATTCTTGAACCTTAGGATCTTCATTCTTTAACCTTGGTTCACTGCATCAAAACTGAAATAAGGATATTAAATTTTCTATATAAGACATAAAATGCTTTTTTTAAAACCCATATAAGCATAGAAACAACTTCAATCAGACGCCAATGGATTTCACCTAGAAATTGAGTGAAAAATGGATTACTAGCATTGAAATCTGAAGTGCTAAAAAGTATGGATGAATCAAAGACAACATAAAATGCCATGGTGCGATATATTACCTGCATGGTTTCAGTGTTGTCCTCTGGAGAAGGCGCCCTGACAGTGTCTTTAACTCGGGACCAATTACTGATGAAGTAATTCTTCCTTTTCTTCTCCCTTCCTTCTGATCTTGTAACTGAAGAAATTTCAATTTGGGGAAAAGAATAACTGATGAAGTAAACTTCCCAATGATCTCAACCCAAAAAATTAAAGATACAAAAGACACCTTTAGAAGAAAACCAACCTATATTCTGACGGGTAAGAGAAGTGAAAAATGTTTAAGAAAATCCTCCACGCTTCCAAAGTTGGTCAAATCCAGCCATTCTCTCAAGGAAGCCACAAAGCATTAAAGCCGTTACTTTGGCAACTAAATTTTTGTGCGCCTCGAAAATGAAAATATACCTGTAACGTTATTAGTCATGAATTAATTGCATAATGAAATTTTTAAATGATACAAAATATAAATAATGCCTATCATCAATTAATAATCCTCTTTGAAGACAACGAAGGAATTCTTGACAAAGAACTGATTACGTGAACACCATGTTGCACCTTGCCTTCTGGCACTTCAAATTGGTGAAAGATATCATTGAGTTGCAACTGTGAACAAAAGCTTGAAACTCTGTTGCGTGAAGCTTTTCATCAAGAGAGAGAGGATGTGGTAATGCTGCTCTTGGAGATTAAGCCTTGGACACAAACTTCACTGTGCTTGCGGCAGAGGATACTTGGAGATAACAAGATTGTTTTTGAGGCTTGACCAAGGCCTTGTCTCTGCAATACAATGACAAAGGTTACACCCCATTGCACTTGGAAGCCATGCATGGAAGAATTCCAATCCTTGAAGATTTTTGTTAAGTTCTCCAACTTCCTTTCAGTATCTGACATAAGAGGAAGAAACACTGTGTCATCTTGCTGTAAAATTCAAGCATTTTGATGAACCTGCATGTCTAGAAAATTTCTTCATCTCATCTAATCTTCTCCTTAAGAAAGATAAATATGGAAACACCATATTACATTGATGGATACCTACCCAGAATCACTCACTCAAAACACACACCACAGCAGTCACAAGGAGTCAACCCAGAATACACAACCAGAACTTGCCCAACACAGGAAATATCAGAAATTATATATATATATAGAAGATGATGAACTCTACACCAATTCAAGATAACCTCAACTCAATCAACATAAACAAGTAAAGAAATAACAAAAATGAAGATAAATAGGGTAACAACTAAGTAACATAGCCTGCTGGATTTCAAGGGCCAGCCACCTCTTTTCACTTTTCTTCTCTGAATAACCTCCTAATTCTTCTTGTCTCATTTTTATTCTATTCATTCTCTCTCCCTAACAGAATTCCCAAACAACCATACTCCTACTGTCACCTGTTTCACACAAATCTCCCTCACATACACACACGCATAGGACCTATTTTTGCCCAATAACAACAATTAATTCTCTATTGCCCCTTCCTATGCCTCCTATTATAGACCAGCACCTCATGTGTTTCATCATACATCTTGCGTCTCTAGAGGGAACTACCAAGTAAGAATTTAAGTGGAAATGTTTCAGGATTTCAGATAAGAGCAAAACATTTTGCGTTTTAATTGATTTTAATTAATATCTAAATGATGTATTTATCTCGAAATGATTTCAGTTAGCCATGTACATTGTGAATACCGCAAAAGAGATTCTAAACTGTCGCAACAATAAAGGACATATGGTACTTGAAATTCGTGAACTGTCTCCAGGTAATGCAGAAAGCAAGCAGTCAAAGAAAGCCGTAAAGGCAGCTGCTGGTAAAAGTACAGAGTTGTTGCCTCTCTTAGCAGGGGCACAAGAAACTAATTCTCGACAACAGACACTTGAAAACTCCAAAGATATACTTGAGACAAAAAACAGGAGCCTTCTTCAATATCTGATTGACATAGGCAATGGTTGTGAGCTGCCCTTAGACTTCAAACTTGGCTACCAGCCAGAGGTTGTGCCTACACCAAGCTCAAGCATGTCAGCAAAATCTAGGAAGGATTCAGGTGAGTGTCAAATAAAAGAAAAATATGATAGTCATGACAATAGCTGAATAAAACTACAGATCCAGAAGGAAAAAACTGGATATGCTCACCTCCCGGCCTCGACACAAGCGCATCAGCAAATCTTGTGGTTTCTTGCCCACACCAAGCATGGAACCAATGTCAACATAGGATTTACTTGAGGTTCCATCCTTTGAGAAACCAAAAATTCAAGATGACAAGCCATTAGAACCAGTGTCCTTAACAGAAGCAAAAGAATTTGTGCGATCTGAAAGAATTCAGGATGCTGAGTGATATAACACGAGAGAATGGAATCAACTTTCCAAAAGTCGCAATAAAAAGCAAAAGCAATATGAGATATACATCGAGGCTCTACAAAATGCCATTAACACAATTATAATGGTGGCAATTTTGATTGCCACAGTTACTTTTACTGCAGGCACAAACCCTCCTGGTGGGGTCTTCCAAGAGGGGCCACTGAAAGGAAAATCCACAGTTGGCAGAACAACAGCTTTTAGGGTCTTTACAGTAAGCAACAACATTGCATTTTTCACATCTCTGTGTATTGTTGTTGTCTTAGTTAGCATCATCCCCTTTCAAAGAAAACAAATGATGAAAATGTTGGTGATTACTCACAAGGTCATGTGGGTGGCTGTGTCGTTCATGGCTATTGCTTACATTGCTGCAACATGGGTGACCATGCCACATTGTAGAGAATCAGGATGGATGTTTGAAGTTCTACTGGCTATCAGTGCTGGGACTGTAGGAACCGTGTTCGTGTATCTGGCAATTGCGCTGAAAAGACATTGGTTAAGGAGTTGAAGTGGAGGGAAGAGAAAGGTAAGAGGAGGAGAACAACTGCAACCATTCAAGATAAAGCTCAGTCACAACATGACAGAACTAATGCTGAAGGAGAAATCTATTCAGAATCCACCATCTCAGATGTTGACAGTTCCACCATTAGGATATCATGCATATTGAAAATTTTAAATCCACAAAGAATAATGTCAAGTCTTTCTTTTCTTTTCATCTGGAGAAGGGTGAATATCGTGTGTCAAACAAATTAGATAGTTCTGCTAGCTGCTATGTTCAATATTTACGAGCAAAACCTTTCAGAATTAGATTTTCAGTTCTTCAATATTGCCTAGAATTTAGCTGCAGGTAGTGATTTAACGAATATTGAAAAAGTTTAATTGAATAGAAATAAAGCCAGAGCAAAATGTTAAACTTAGAGGCTAGGTGGCTTACAGTTCCAGTCTCAGTGTTCAGTCAGAGCTAATGAGTCTAATGATAGGTGAAGCATGAAAACTGCAAGCTGCAGATCTTGCACATTTATCCCATTAAAAATTTTCATTCACCATTCGGTTATAGAATTAGCATTTCAATAAAAATTCAAGTCCAAATATTCCTTCTGGATATTTACATATACAAGTAGTCAGAAATTTGTTGCAAGTAAACATAGTACCAAATCATTAAGAAGCAGATCTGGCTTCCAGAGTTAAATCAATACTATAAATAAACAGTTATTACAAGAACATATCAGCATAATTAGCAGTGGTAGCATTACTGAATAACTTAACCAGTCAAAATTTTCTGTTATATGCATCTTAACTAAGCTTAAATAAAAAAAAACGAAGAATAGAGAGAAGTCACCAAGCATAACTAACCGGTGTATGATCGTTGGTTTGCTTGCTGGCACTGTTCTTCAATTGTAAGTACCATCATTTAGAATGAAACCTGTAAAGGTAATCATCTTCTCTTCTATGTAGTGCGAGCATCTGAAGTGAGACGAGAAATATTTGTTTAGGGATTGAAAGTTGAAGCTTTGAACATAAAATTCCCTGTCTTAATAATTCAATTGTAACTAAGCTTTGAATGTGCTTAAAACTAAATCAGACAAATAATAATTTGTTTAGGGACGGAGGTTATGTTATATATTCCACAGCACATTGTTCCTGTCTATCTTGTGCAGCATGATAACACTCTGTATATGAAATTAGATGTTTGGTTTGAATAAGTAGCATTGTCTCCAAATTACGAGGAGAGAAAGATTAACTCACTCAAATATTTTGATAGATAAACTTCTCAATGAAAGCTACTTTGCGAATGCCTGGAATTTGCAGCACTGCCTTCCTTGAATTCTGTGCGACCTTTCCAAGGAGGCTTCGCAGGACTTTGCTTGCACTTGGTGAGGACTTTCCAGGTGGTTCCTCTCTTCTTAAGCTGCTCACACTCTGCTGTTTTATCTTTTGTAGACCACAAAGCATTAATGCATGGTTAACAGCATTAAGATTTGGAATGGTAAAAAGTATGGATAATAAATCAAAGACTATATAAATGCCATGCTCCAATATGTTAGCTGCATGGTTCCAGAGTTGTCCTCTGGAGAAGATGCCCAAAGAAATGAACTTACCCTGTAGTAACTCCGGGCAGTATCCAAATGCTGACGAATGAAGTCATGACATGATTGTAATTTGGAGAACTCAGACTGGTGAGGAATGAAGAATGGGCACTTTTTTCATCTTCCTTGATCCTTCATATGCACCATAGCAAAAAGTATTTTAATATCCATATGAGCATTAGCCCACGTCAATGAGTAATCAAAGGATTTTACATAGTGAATTTCGAGGAAATGAAAAAGCTACCTACATGATTGATCGTTAAGAAGGAATACCCAAATTATGAAAAATATTCTCTTTTTGTTACTGCTTTTGATTTGTCTGAATCTATAATTTTATGTTGTGCTATCCTCTCGCTTGTGAGCACAAAACAACCAAGGCACTTGGACTAACAAATCTGTGCCACCTCTGAAATGAATCTGCCCCTGTAACATTGATTAATTATTAATCAAAGCATAAAAAATGAGGATAAAAGAGAATATGGAAGGCCAATGGCCAATCACATGGTTTCTTATTTGAGGTGCCAACTTCAGATACATCCATACTTTGTGGCAGTATTAGCCAACTTGACATATAATTAAAAATTAGATTAAAAATGTTTTGTAGTTCTTAGAGATTAGAAATAATAAGAAAGAGCATACATAAGTAATACCTGTGGTTGATGGTTATTGCTGCAGATGTTGACATATAAAATCAATTTGGATGTTAGGGATGTGAGCGATTTTGGGCCAGTCAAGTCCAAATTCATTATCGTATCGTTCTTTTAGAATAGGACATTCAGTTATCTCCAATTCCTTGAGTGTTGTCTTCCGGAGAAGGCTGGCTGGTAATGCTACTAATTCTGGGCAGTAGCTAACTGTCAACGAAGCAAGGCATGGCATGAATCTTATTTCTTCTTCTTCTTCTTCTTCTTCTTCTTCTTCTTCTTCTTCTTCCTTCTCTGAATTCTCGGAATCCCACTCTTCCCATTCCATATGCCCATAATGCCACCATTCCCATTCCACATCCCAAATTTCGATTCTCAAAATCTCTACCACAATATCAGATACATTGATAAAAGTGGTAGTTGTATTCGTTGATAATCAGGTCTCTCATTAGCTAAAATGATATTAAGATTATAATCACCTTTTTCTTTTGCAATAGCATCTAACTTTTTATTTATCTCTGTTATTCTAACCGCAATATCATGACGTAAAACAACTTCTTTGAAGCCAAAGCAAGGAAGAGGGAAAAAACAACATACCTTCTTCTTAGGAGCAAGAGCATTATGACATGACCTCCATGAATTTTGAGTTTCATGATTTCAGTGTTCCACTCATCCAACACATCTTCCACGTCATAGCATGCGTCTTTGACCGATTCAACCAAACTCTCACAGCTCTATTCTTCATTTGTTTTGTCAGCATCAAGTGCACAGCTTGAATGGCTTGAAGATTGTTCTTAAGTTTATCTACTTCTCGGCAATGTCTCCCACTAGCCTCACCTGTTCTCCTATGAGCTAGCAGTTGAAAGTAGAATTGAATCCAACACTCCAAGGAAACCGAAACAATTGCTTCAGCCATATTAAGATATGATCAATAATATAAAGAGAAGAATGGAGATATTTGTTTCGTTTGCTTTTGTGTTATAATTAGTGAATGCTGTCTATTTATATTATTATGCACTATCCTAAAATTATTGCATATGGTAGAAGTCAACCGCATTTAATTTTGGAATGTATTTTTTTTGTCCCAATATGTGTGAAAGCAACGTAATTGTTATTATTAATTTGGGTTTTATTAAACCCCCAAGATTTGCCAAAATCATAATCCGCTCAGGTATTGGTAATTATGCTCAACTCTCTGCCGTCAAAATTCTCTAGTTAGTTTTAACAGGATAAAGGGTAAAAGAGTAAATGTTCCTAAAAATTACCACATAAGCCCCCTGCTATTAGTTTTTCTTGTTAAATATGAGAGCTGACCAATTTTGACTAAACACGGTTGTGAATTTACACTCATTATATTTTGAAGTTGACTATTTTACCCTAAAATTGATTAACAACTCATTTTTAAATTTAAGAAAAAGTAAAATAACGATAATTTTTTTCTTTATATTCCCAAATTATTCTAACCCTTAAACCAAAATCCAAATTTAAAATACTTTAAGAATTTAGAAAATTAAGAATACTTTAAAAAAAAAAAAAAACTAAAAACAACTAAAAAAAAAAACGCTGAAGTCTAAAAAATATTGTTCCAACTGCCGACCTAGCAATTGGTTTTTTTTTTTTTTTTTTTTGGATTTTTTTCTAATTTTTTTTTTTTAACTTTTCAAAATTTTGCAATTTTTTATTTAGATATTTCTGATTTTTTTTTTTTCATTTTTCCAAATTTTTAATTTTTCACAATTTTTTTTTAATAGATTTATTAGTTTTCTTTTTAAAAAAAATAACAATCTGTAATATTTATATAATTTAATAATTTTTTCTTTTATGTCTAACATGTAAGGAGGGGACTGTGCTGGGTTGGTCTATAATAAACTATATAATTATCAATATTCATGAAAAATAAAAACCCTAACTAACCACTCCCCACCTCACTCTCTCCCCAACCCACATCTCCTTATCACCCATAGTTCCGCATCACTCTCTCCTCATCACTCATCAATCCACACCATACACTTGCCCCTCTCTCCCTCTAACTATGTCCACTCTTATCAAACCCCATACCCAACTACCAGTCCTCTCTCCCTCCCAACCTAGATATCTATGGCCCAACCGTCTCAAAATCTCCCAACTATAAGTTAAAAGTAAATATTTAATTAGTCAACTTATAAAACCCTCTCTTTTTATTGTACCTAAAATTTAATTATAACAAAAATATTTTAAGTTTTCTCTTATAGAAAACCGTAAAGGATAAATTAAATAAATAGACAAATTGAACCACTTATAAAACTATTTCCAAGTAATTGTACATGAAATTTTAAATTATTCAACAGATTTTACTCTCAAATAATGTCATGTGATAAGAACTACATACATTTTTGCATTGTACCCTTTAAAAATAATGCATGGGAAGTTCTCTCAGAAAAGCAAGTAGAATCCTACACAATTCAAACTGTGAAATTCTATTACCTAAGAATAAATTTTGCCAATTTTGAAAACTTAGAAATTTGGTTGTTAGCTTTGTTTCCAAAAGAGTGGGGATACAACAACCAACAAGCATATATAACTTTTTAAAAATATTACAAATTACCAAAAAAAAAAAAAAAAATGGTGTTTTTGTTAATTTTTTTTTTTAATAAACAAGTCACTATTCCTAAAGTTTTCTATTATTACAATATAATTTATTTTAAAGAAAATAAAAAGGTGAGCATTGGTTTCAATTTTAGCGAAGCCCTAGCCTGATCTATGCTTTCAACAAGCGAGGATCAGGCTGGGGATGAGAT